CTTTTTGGCAAAATGTGGCTACTTTCACCTATGCATCAATTCTGACATTCTGCTGTATAATTAAGGACACGAGAATGATTGGCGCCTGTCCGAATACTTCCTTTTGTTGGTAACGTATCTGGAAGAAGAGTCCACCAACTAATCACATTGTCACGAAGATCCTCTTCTTTAGAGCTCTCTCACATCTCTGCTCTGATCAGCTTCCCGCCTCCATCATTACAATGTGGAAAGTGAGGTGAAATGAACATCCATGGAGGATTTTTATTGTAAGCGAGCCAATACTTGAAATTTTTATTACACTAGACTTTGCATTTTGTCGGAGTACTGAAACAAGCGGGAGAGAATGTCACACACATCATCAGAGTCATCTAATGAAGGACGGGTTTGAGGCAGTTTCAAGGGGGAAAGAAGGAAGAAGTTTGGCGACAACGCTTCACCTTACCACCTTTTCTCACTTCTGTCATGGGTAGTTGCGTGTCGCCTGAGTTTTATCCAGGTGACAGTGAGTTGGGCAGACATCACGTGATCATACGCTTGACATCTTTCTGCAGATATCGTACGAAACTGTTTGAGATGGGTCAGGCTACGCCCAGTGTTGCTTCAACCCCTAATGCCTTTTCTACAGACCAAGGCACTGGAATAGTTTGTTGCATGAAAATATGAAGCCAAATAATACTGCTGACGTGCAGGACGTCTGGGAGACGAACGGAAGCGCAACGGCGGAGACTGAAGTGCCCTCGAAGCCAAAATAAACAAAGCATTACGCATAAGCAAATTCAAAATAATTTCGCTTCAAAAATTGCATAGCCACTGCTCCCTTATTTCCCTACATGATCCTGTGCGTTTAAGGTTTGTGACGTAGGCGTTGTATCAGGGTGGGATGGCGAATAGAAGGCGAAAGTGTCCGATGCAGTACGAGAACAGCAAAGCATCTGATCTGTGGGGATAAACTTTTTCTCTATGCTCTGGTAGGGCATTTCTTATGCACAAAAGAAGGGACGCAGCACCAATACGTTCATTCAACTGATAGGCCAAAAGTGGTTGGCAGTGAGCCTCGACCAGCTGCCTTTCTGTTGGAAAGAGACATCGAGTGTTAATTTACTGTGTCTGCACCTTTAAAACTTTCGAACAGCACCACTCTCCATCACCGACTATTATTGAATTTACAAATTTATGAAATTTAGTCCTTTGGAAGCCTAAGCCGAAAGGCACAGGGTCGACAAACATTAATTTACGCCTTTAAAGAACAGATCTGCTTACAAGTAGACAATTCGTAATTAGAAACAGCATTTTACCCTGTCATTGGTAAAATTCAGGAAGAAGTAATCAGCCTTGTGTGTCACTGGCGCACTTGTGGACGGTCCAACCTAGCGAGCAGCCTTGAGGTAGCCCTCATTTCTAGTCCAAAATAGGTGATGTCCTCGCATGTTTGTGAAGTCAAATATTGTTCAAAATTGTATTAAATCGAAAAATTTGTGCAATAATTTCAGGCGTGCATCTACCAGCCATGCATTACCAAGGGATTTGTATGTGCTCTCTTTTTAAATAGTTACGCTGATGATGAGGACGTGTGTAGCACTAGAAATTGATCGACTTACAATTTTAGCATGTATTATTACCTTTCGATACGGAGCGCCACATTACTTCAACATTTTAATTCATAGGATTTGTAATTTTATGGGAATCATTAACCCGCACTTTATAGTTTCGGCTGCATTCTTGGATTAAGGGTTATGAAAACTCTATTGTTACCGGCTTATTTTGAGTGTAATCGCCTTGATACTGAATAGTTAATCCAAATAAATTAATTTCGAGGGAGTTTACGAACGTACCTTGCATTTTTATTAGTTTTAGTGTTGCTACACTGCAATTTCTCTCTATTTCGGTTCTACTGAAATCGGGTGAGTAGCAGCATTGGCTTTTAGGCCCAAACGGAAACAGCTCCCATAGACCGCCTGTTCATCCAAATGTATACATTAGACTGACCACAATGTTTTGCCAAATTATCTTTCCGGTTTGTGGATTTGAAAAAATATTGACAGTGATCAGGCAACCTGACAAATTTGTGGGGTCTTTTTCTACCACCGAATTGCGCATCAGATCTGCTTCCACACTGTTAGTTGACCTTCCCCGAGGCTGCTTGAACATGTGCATGACTAATTTCATGCAGATCTGCCTGGAATTTAGAGCTGGTTGGAAATGAGCTGCTTTACAACTTGGTGTTTAATTGTTAAAACAGTTGCAAAGCTGTCATTTTAAGTCTATCAAGCATCCAGGCAAAAGTTCTTCAATCAACTTTCACCCTTAGCATAAACTAGACGCTAAAGTATTAAAAATGCATTATCTGAGGCTTATCTTTGAATATTTTTCACTGAGGTCTGTAAATAGACTTAGATGATTGTTTTACTATACCTCATTTATGCATTATCGCTTTAAAATATCAACTGCAGAAAAGTAATTTAAGGAGGTATCTTTGTCGGTGTTCCATTAGGTTATGGTTTTGTTCTGCATCCGGAGGGTAGTGTTTTTAATGTCTCTCAATCTCCCCATACTAAGTCGATTACTATCCTTTTACGCAATATTCTCTACTTATATCTTTGCGATCCAAATGTAGTCCACTGAAGACTAAATGTCAATACTCTGGCATCATTGACAGCCAATAAAAGAACCTTAGACTAAAACTTCCACCAATGGCCTTAAGCCACCAATTGCCAAAATTTAAGTTATATGAAGATCTATTCAGTTGTTTGGAGAGCATTCACTTCTGAAAGCTGTCGCTATGCTGCCCTTGGTAAACTCCCCGCATCGACGTTTCAACACAGTGCTATAGCAGACGCACCAAATCGTCAAATTAGCCTAAAAATGGGAAGGCACCTGTCCGCAATACTACCAATCCCTCTCGGCAGTTCTACAGCTTTCGCAGCTTCGTCGTGTTTGGAGAAGAACGAATGCGCTGATCGTCGCACATGTCCGGTTGTAGTAGTACGGAGCTTGGCCTTAAATCAGAGCCATTTTTAAGGGGCGGGGCTTGGATTAGTGTCATGGGAATAATGACTCGTGTCCGTTGCCTCTTTGCTGCTTTGTTCTCAATTCAGTGCTGTCCAGAGTGTGGAGTTAGATGATATAGTACATATTCATTTACGAGACATTTTAGGTAAGGATATTTGTAAAGGATTCTACAGCGAACTTTCCTCAAAATTTGGGTCCGCGGTTTATGTTTCTTTAGTGGTCAATAACTTTTCCCCAGATTGTAAAATCAAGGTATTTGACAAATGCGGAAGTCATTTTTACCCCTACTTTATGGAGTCCACAGCAATTCCTTTAACGCATGATACAGCACTTAGTATCGGAAATCTGAGTACATATTGTTTAAGATTAAGTTTGCTTTCCGCTTTTACTAGTGTAGTGTCGGTGGCCCTTTTTGAAGCGATGAATATCGTACTACTTGGCCAGATATTTGTTTCGGCATGCATGTATGGTCTGAGCTACTGGTGGGGCTCAGCCACCACTCCACCTAAGAGGTGCCTAAATCAAAACCTAGATCCCAACAAACAGTTGTCACGTGCTACTACTAATATATTTAAGTAAGTTTGAGCTTGTCTAACATTTCGATTCGTCATTTGGTGTTTTCCGGATGGGATATCATTTTTGTTGACTTAATAGCCATGATTAGTCTCTTGGTATACAAAACTGTTTTGTTTTGTCTTATGTACTGCTTGTGAAGGCTGGCATGACGAAGTGCATGTTAGTCTGTAATCTAAAAGTAATGAAGCAGAACCTCATCTTCGATTCGACTTGTTCTGCTAATCTACGTAAACCCTTCCCATATTTCAGCACATCACTGATTCACACTGTTGTGGCAGTAAATTATCCGGTTTACTTCCTTTGCTCGCCTCCATTGGCCCACGCAGTGCTGATTAATGGTCATCTACACCTGAAAAAAATCGATCGACCTTGGACCTTGCTGCGAGGAGCAGGAGTCACTTCGTGGCTCTAGAGAGCGCTATTTATTGATTTCATCTTGACCAAACATTCATCTCTAAAAAATCGATGTCACCGATGTGGGAGGTCTGTGATGATTGTGGCGAAGCTGCGAAATCATCTCACTGCTCATAGTTGCTGCAACCTTAACACCTCGATGTTTGTGCATAAAGAGAGTATGACCGTATTAGCGACAGTCAAAATAAGGCAATGTTTCAGGTCTTCCGTTTAATAGCCAAATTGCTCGAACGTTAGTTCATGATCGTGAAAGTATGAGCTTCCATCGACAATTTATTAAACCTCAATCTTTCTTTGCTATCATTCAAAAAATTGCAAAATCGCTTAAATTGTAGTTATTTAGATTTATTAGCAGTGCTATTGTTAGTTTTTCAGAGGACAAAAACTAAATTTTAAGTTAGAATTTAAGGTCATCTTATGAAAAACGCATCGACAATTTAGACAGTATTGCATCCCCTCTGGTTATTTTATTCACCTCAAATGAAATCAACTCCCAACGTACCTCCGGGCGAAAAATGATCTGCGTTTTGTCAGCTGTCATTGGATTCCCCTTCCCCGTTGGGGCATCGAGGTCCTAGGCTGGGATGTAGTCTGCTTCATTAGAATAAATAAATTTGAAAGGTATCCCCCACCCCTCTCCAGTTTCCCCTATTCATCGACAAACTGATAACCTCGTGGTGTCGTACAGAGGAAACGACTTTCATTTCATGAATTCATAACAGAGAAAACGCCGTTCGCACAATAGAATGTATGTAAAACAACGAAATGGAAGTAGAGGAAGGAGAGGAGGATTGTGTGTTCAAACACACATGGAAAGAGGAAGAGAAGGAAGCTAATTATGGTGAGCAGAATTGATCGATGTTGGAATCTCATTTTAACCAACCTTCTACTGCTTCATTTGATATGGGAGAAAAAGTTAGTGCATTTATTGCAGGCTGTACACAAAACCGTCGGTGCATTCTCGATAAAACTATACGAGGTGAAGGGAAGAGGAAAACAGCCTATTCACAGGAGACCTCTCCCTTGAGGGGTGGTTTTTCATGGCCAGCAGACTTCTGCGGATACCTTGGCGTTGGTTCCGCGGGTGAGGATGACGAAGAAAGATCAGAGGTTCTGCGACAGCGCTTAGGGCTGCCCATGTCCAGACCTGGAATCCCTTGCCATGGCAAGTGGGCAGGACGTGAAGAGGTGAGTTTAAGATCTCCCCCATTATCCACGAAGGAACGAGGGCCTCCAGCGAATGCCACAGCGGCCGCTGCCATTGCTGACAGCGCAGAACTACTGCTCACTCCCCCTATGTGCGGTGGTGGTGGTGGTGGCGGTGGTGGCGGTGGAGCTGGAAAGACGCCATCCTGATGCAGGCTTAGCCTTGAAGCCGCAGCGAACTGGGAAGGAAACTGACTCGCTGCGGTGTCGGAGTTATGGAAATTTGAAGATGACGACCCTCCAGAAGCGGCAATGGGAACTCCAGATGATTGAGTTGGTGAATTCGGCGATTTGGCAGCAGGCGCGCCATCCCCTGAGACGGTTTTAAATACACCTGATTGGAGAACAAGTCTACCCTGCATCAGTGGTTTAACATAGCGTCGACGCGCGTTGATAAACCAATTATTGACAGTGGTTCGTGAGAGCCCAGTCTCCATCGCAAGCATCATTTTCTCCTCCTCCGAAGGATAGGGTTCTCGTAGATGGTCTACTAGCCAGCTGAATAATCGCTTCCTTGCTGGAAAGGGAAGATTAGTGCGTGATAGACCAACAGCTCTACGAATGCTGAAGAGCCCAGACATTTGGGGGTTAGTAGACTGGGCACAAGTGGTAGGGATATTGGTGTTGGCATCATACGGTTCGTGTTGTAAATGTTGTTCCTCTTGAAGCATTGATGGCGGCGGTAGCGACGCCTGTTGGGGATGGTGCGGTTGTGTTGACATCCCACCTTCAGAGCTGTTAGAGGGTGACGAAAGCTGAGCCTCCTTTACGCCTCGATGGAAAGCGTCCATCTTCCGCGAGTCATCCGAAGATGGTCGACTGCCCACCTGTTCTGGAAAACCAGCAGATCCGCTTATGGACTGACCCTCTGTGGCGCTGAAGTGTCTATCTAAATGTGAAGACAGAACAGAGTGAATTGGTGGTTCGAAGGAGATGTGTGTGCGATTGTTTTGGTGATGAAGAGCGGGCGCTTCACACCACCTCACGCAAACAGGCAGGCGCACGCGGTGGGTAGGTGGGTTGGCAGTCGGTAAATTAGGATTTCCTCTTTTTTTGCTCGCACAACAGGGCGCGGCACTTGTGTGTTTGAAGTGAGCGTGCGTGTGCGCTTGCAGTGATCTTGTCAGAAGAGCGCAATAGGCGTGCAAGCAGGCGCCGAGCAGCCCATCTTCGTTCTTCATCATCATCAACAGCAGCAGTGCTGCTGCCACAGTCGTGCTGATCGCGAAAATATGTGTCGTTTACCGCTTCCCGTGAGCAGGTAGTGATCGCTAGCCTGCTTTCTCGAACGATCTTTAGCGCGCAGCTACCATCACCACCTTTTCGTGTTGTTCGTGCGTGCTGGCGTGTGTGTGTGAGCGAGTAACAAACGAGATGGAACACAATTTATAGGGGGTCTTGCCGCCATCCACTCCACAGTTTTTTTGCTTCTTTTAGAGCGGTATCTCACCCTCACACACTCCCTACCTACTCTCTTCGTTTCCTTCCATCCCTAAGACAATTTCCATCACAATCAGTCTCGCATCGATTGCTCCTCTCTTCGAGATGCAGTTCATTACAAAGTCCCTCATTCTTAGTAGTTACGTGTAAAATGAGTTGAGTTTAATAGAACGCTTCGAATTATCGGTTTAGTGTCCTGGAAGATAAGCACACTTTTCTTAGTAGGAACAAGGCAGTTTTCAAAGCATACAACATTTCAAAATCAGTTGTGAAGGTGACAATTCACAGGGCCTTTGGACTTATCAAATACACATGCCATTTTCAAGTATTTCTAGATCATTGAAGGGAGCAATTTTCCTTTAATTTTGGCATCATTCCAATTTTTTTCGATAAAAGATGGATTAACCATTGTTTAGTGATGAAAATTCGGTCGTAAAAAACATCACTCGATTACGAATAGTTAAAGCATGGTAGCCATAATCAATATTTCGTGCTCAAAACATTCGTATTTATGCCTCTCCAATCTAAAATTAAGGCCTGCACTATGCTACTATAAATCGAAATAAGTAGGTCAAGAGTTCATGGAGTGAAATTTGCTGCGTAAGAGTATTGCATCCAATTTTTACCCATTTGACACTCATGAAATCACAAAGATGGTATCACTCATTTGTTAGTTGTACTAACTTTTTAACCCACTAAATGTGAACTTTAAAGACGTCCCTTGTAAAATCAACATTTAGATGCTCATTCGTGTGTTAAAATTGACAAAGGGATTCTAGTGAACTTTTCGTGCTTCTCCTTAAAAGTCCCAACTAACTTCCAAAATACTGTAGTTGGAAACTGCTTAGAGCCTTATCAATAAAAGCTAATGAGCTCTTCACCCAACGTCGCAGCAATGCAAAAGGTAGAAAGTCAACATAGTAGCTTAACACCCAACTTCCATTGAGCTGACAATGACAAATGGCTAACGAGAAAAATCTTAAGCGGTAATTGTGACGTGAGAACGCAGATGATAGTGTGAGTAGGCTTTTGAGAAAATTGCCGTCCTACCAAAATGGCCGCGCTCACCTCGATACCCCTTAGGATTTAGCAAGAGAGAGGGGTAGAGGAGACACGTTTGAATTTGGAGGAGGACTTGTATGATGCGAATTTAGTGACAAAATTTTGTTTATTGTCTAATTACCGTGTTACTCACATCAATAAATGCTACAAGCAGCATTGCGCTGTTAAGACCTTGTAGCCCATAAGAAATGACAATTGCGTCACATGTTGAACGCAGCTGCACTTCATATAATTTTGCCATTTAATTGCAATGCACGCGTTTTGCAACAATCTCCATACATTACAGCTAGAGCGCGCGAAACCTGATGTGGGATAATTAAAATAGCTTTTCGTGAGTGTGGAAAGATTTTAGCAAATCGGCGAAAAATAATGTATAAGGAAATCACGTTGCTAAACTTCGAAACACAAGTAGTGTATTGGCGCCATCTCTTAATTATCAACTTCCCCATTCCTCTTCTTCCCTAGTTCAGCAATGAAAGTGCATGAATCATCTTCCTTTGTTTTGCGGGTTGGATGTCGAGAGTGGTAAATAAGACTTCTGACACATCGCTCCTCCCTCCCTTCCCCAACCCAACCATGCCATGGATTCCAGTTAGTCCAATGACGCTAATTGAAACTTCTCTTGACAGGTGGCAAACGCTAAATACTATCAATCATGTCTACACCTCATGTTTTCTGATTCAGTGACAAGGTAAACGCCAGTGCGGTCCTCTTATACATCCGGGGGTGAATAAAATTCTAGTCCAAAAAGCACCGATGAGTTAAAGCTAGAGAGTATTTCTTCAACTTCCGCTTAAATTGTCGCACCGTCCTTGACAAGGTCAGCGCAAAGATGCTGCCTCTGCCCAGTCTTCGTGTTCTCATCGGGTCACTCACACGCCGTCAACATGTTGTTTATTGCCCTATTTTTCTCTCTCTCTCTCTGTGCTTGATGTTGCTTCTGCTCTAACGTAACCTCAGTTCTTTCTCTCTGTGCGCGTGCGCATGTGAGAAGTCTCAGCACACTTGAACTCTGCTGCGTGTGTGCATGATGTGAACAAACAGGCAATGACCGACCTGATCACAAGAATGAACGGAAAAAGAATGCTTCTACTAAAAGCTCAGCATTAAAAGCACCGTAAATACTTGTTTGTGGCTTGCAGTAATAGACAGAAAATGAAATCTAATGCATGCGAACACCTCTAGAGTACGTATAAAAATGTAGAACACTAGGTGATAATTCTGACAAGATTTTAAAAAAATTATTACATGATGACCCAGGAAAAAAGTTGTACAAGGTTAAATCAGGGATGAATTGTCTATTACATAACATCAGACGCCACAAACAATCCCAGCAGCCATGCACATGGCACCAAAGTAGAAAGTAATTAAAGAAATTCTACCTTACAATGCATTAAAAACTGAATCATTTGGGGTGATTTTAAATACTGCCTCACCAAATTTCGATCAACAAACTTGCCCATTTCGATATATAGATGGAACCGTGTAAAAATGGCTTATCGCCTGGTCTCAGTTGGTATTGCTCTTCTGTTGATTGATGGACTGACGACCAACGTTTTTTTTTCATATTTATTTAAAGTTGAGACCTCAGAGACCATTCAATGAGTGGACCATTTTTCCAAATAGTAGTAAGGCGGTATTGAATCAGAAAGTGTTTATCAACTGGCTGACTACTTTGGTGCTTTTTTACAAGAGAACAATACCCCAATGAAGCGACCAAATACATTTTCAAGTGTCTGGCAGTTCGCTGCACCGCCAATACTGCGAGCAAAGTTTAACTATAAGTGTCAAACACACGCTGACGAAATTGAGTGCCTTCCTTTATACACAAATGCCATCATATTTACAGAATGACACCTACCCTGAGACCGCAGTCCAAATGCTCACACAAGGCGGACAGAGTGATTATCGTTACAGTAAAGGAGGCGATGCAAATAGACGCTTTTAATCGCAAGCCATGCGAGTACTCTGGGGCTAGTATGAACTCATGAAGTTCATTTTGACTGACAAGCTCAATTTCGCTGGCTCACACCCTTACTGTTACTGGGCAAATCCATCTCTCTTTTTCTCGATTCTCATCTTGCAGTTGTCACGCCCGCGTCAGTTTTGCTACTGCTGCTACTGTTACTCTGGCTACTGATTGACACACCCGTACACGCCACCAGCAGCAGCAGTTCCAGTAGAGGTTCTGTAGACATCCTGTCCAGCTGTCAGTCAAGTCCCCACTGGCAAGAGAGCTTATCTGACGGATCGCATCTCTCTCCCTCTTACATGCAACAGCAGAAGAGAATTATAGAGGGGACGAGAGGGAGAACAGCGCGTGTGCGTGAGTTGCGTGTGTCCAACTGAGAGACGCGTGATCGCCTCAGGGGAGGAAAAATTTTGATGTCTCTCCACCGCACACATGCACATGCATTGGCGAAAGCAAAAGTCTGTGCCCTGTTCTTCCATTGTAAAAATTTAATTCTGTCCACATAAGAAATCACTGAGTAGACGACCTCCTTGTGTTCTACATTGGTTTAGTGCTTCAGGTTCAAAATCCAAACTAAATAATTTGGTTTGAATAAAACCAAGTCCCCAAATCGGACAAAATTTGGCAAATTCGGGGGGTAATTAATTTCAAAAATGTGGGGATGAAGCATTGTTGGGTATGCTATGCTAAACCAGTTTAGGAAGTTTAGGCTTTCGGTTGCAGAACTTATGCGTTACCAACTCTTCTCAATTTTCCCACGCCTATACGTTTGCACACAAGAAGAAGCTTTCGTCCAGTCATTGCAATTCACTGTGATAGCTAACAGAAAGCCATGGTTTCAAAAGATCCATATTTTTACACTTGAATCAACGATTGTAATAAATAGACAAGCCTTGAGCTCTGGGAGCCCTACCTTGACCAATAATAGGGAGGCCATCCGTTCTCAGTGCATTACATTAAGGAATTGTGGTCGGAAGTCACTAGATAGTGGATAATTATGAGGCATCAATCGCATCGATGCCAAAAAATATTTTCAATAGAAAAGAATGAGACCGTAAAAGATTTAACAATGGAGTTAAATTTTCATCTAATAGCTTCCATTACTAATCCCTCGAGAGGTGACCACAAAGCCACCATTGAACAAGACCATCTAATCACCTCCTAGAATTTCTTAAAGTCGATTAAGTATATTGGTAGAAATCGAAGGACCAAAAAGTCCTTGCATGTCTTAGAATAACGAGGTTGTAGTAACTTGCTGCTATTTGCGGCCACCTGTCAAGTGCATGTGGTCGTTTATGCGCATGTTTCATAGGCATGTGTCACGCCAAACACACCCCACCGCAAACGCGCTCCACTACTACTAC